GGCTGTGGCACTTGCCTATAATCTCAGCACTCTGGGAGGCCAAAGCAAGAGGATCACAAGTTCAAGGACCCAGCCTAGGCAACTTAGGAACTTAATGAGACCCTGTCTCAATATAAAAATTTTCAAAGAGCTGGGGATGTAGTTTAGTGTAAAGGCCCTGGGTTCCATCTCCAGTACTAAAAAAAAATCTAAGTGTGAATGTATATACATGTACTATGTACTGTTGATCTCCTTACCTACAGGTTCCATATGCATGCCTTCAACCAACTGCCAACCAAAAACATTAGAAACATTGTACTTGTACTGAACACATACAGACTTTTTTTCTTGTTATTACTCCTTAAACAGATGGGCAACTATTTGCATTGTATTACATATTATAAGTAATCTATAGATGATTTAACAGATATAGGAGAGTACAAGTAGGTTACATGCAAATACTATGCTGTTTTATATGAAGGGCTTGAACAATAACCCTCAGATTTTGAGAGAGAGACAGAGAGAGACAGAGAGAGACAGAGAGAGAGACAGAGAAAGAGAGAGACAGAGAAAGTGAGAAAGGCAGGTGTGTGACAGGTCCCTAAGAACTTACTAGGGGGAGGTATTGGAAAAAATAGCTGAGAGCTGCCTGCAGATAAGGACTTTCCCAGACTCCAGGATGTCTCAGCAGAGACCCATCCCCAACTCTGGATCAGCCAGGCAGCTCGTTTGAATGTGTGGGCCGCTGCCGCCCGGCACCTCACCCGTGGCAACAGCTCTGAACCAGCGCTGGCTGGCGAGCGCGGCGATCCCACACCACCCGAGCGCGCGGAATGCGAGATGAGCGAGCCCACAGGGCCTCCAGCGCCGCCGCCTCACAACCCCGCCTGCGTTTTTCTTCTCTGCTACCATCCTACTTGCTTTAGCTCCACAGACTTGCTTTGAGGTTGGCACGTTCACATTTTTAATATCAACTCAGAGTCTTAAGATACTAACGTCAAACCCTAATTTAAAAACAAAACCAAAACATCGGGCTTCCCAATATTCCACCTGCCTTTCCCCCGCCCCGCCTAAAAAAGAACAGGTGTCTGAGTAGCTTGTAGACAGAAACCTTTTTCCTAAAAGAGAAATCTTTCCCTTTCCCGTGCATTCTCACCTCAATAGTTCCAAACCAGTGTAGGGATGGAGCCTGCTGTGATTTTAACGCCTGTCTTCAGATCCCTCCTCTGAGACCAAGTTGTAGGGAGGTGGGAGAAGGATGTACTTGAGGTTTGTCTCTTTCCTCAGTCTGCTTTTGCCTGTTTTCTCAGAGGGAACCCAAAAAACCCTCAGTAACCTCAGGGCCCTTTTGAACGGCTGAAAGGTGGGAACCACTTTCCTACTTCACCACATTGGCTCTCCACGTGGCTGACTGCCCACGGGCTGGCACACATGGACCGCATGAACGGGTTCTTTTGCCCCCGACTTCGACTGGCTCTAATCCCTGGGATTCCCTGACCCAACATGGGAATGAGAGACAATCCCCCTTGCTTCAGCCTCCCATAGTTCTGGGATTACAGGTGTGCTGCCACATATTGCTCAAATTTTAAAAATCTGACATAGTCCTGCTGAGTGAAGCCAACCAATGACTAATCAGTTCTTGACCAGGTATTCAAAGTGCTGATAAGTTACCACCTGCATGGTAGCCCTAGGGCAGCCATCTTTGTTTTCCCAGGGGGCTGTGGGAGCAGGTCTATACAAAGAACCTGTGAGTAGGCCTGGGAATGTCTTCTTCTTTTTATATCATAAGTACACACAAATTTTACTTGCCAATTATGTCTTAAGCCCAGGACAGGGAGCAATTGGATGTTATCTCATGGAGTTGAACATCTCTTTGCCCTGTGACCCCCTGAACCCACTTCAAGCATCTCCATAGCAGTATCATTTATTCTGGCAACCCAGGAATGGTTGGTACAGGCTACCCTTGTCAGGGAGCTTGGCCAACTCTTCCTTCCTACTCCAAGCAACAACAAATCTTTAGTCCCAAACCAGTCTACCAGCAAATGTTCACTAAATACCTACTCTCTGAAGTTACCAGGTCCTTGGCCTGCTCCCTTCCGGCTGAGATGGGAGGGAGAGGAAGGGAATCTTTCTAGAGCACAGGAAGGGACATAACTGCGCCTTGAGGCTGAGGGGAGTGTGGAGAGGTGGCAGGGAATAGTAATAACAATAAGGATAACGCACAAGCAATATTAGGACTGTGCTGCGGGCATCACGTGAACTGTCTCACACAGTGCTCCCAGAGCCCTGTGAGGTGGCATCAGCCTCCTGCCTCCATGTGACTCTGGAATGTGGGCTGTTCACCATGATGCCAGGCTGACCTGAGAGAAGACTGTGGACAGAGTATGGGGAAGACTGAGGGGTGCAGAAGGCAGTCAGGCTAGAACAGAAGCCTGTGAGAGAGCTGTTGCATGGTGGTGAGATCCATGGAGTGGGCTTCCTGGGCCGGACAAAGAGTCCCTGGCTGCAAGGGGAGGGAGTGGGGGTGGGGAGCCCGAGAGGGCAACCCTGCCACTGTGGCGCTTTAGGCGGAAGCCACCCTCCCACCAGCCCCTTTTCATTCACATAAAGCCGCGTTTGTTTCCATTTATCTGCTTGACTTTTCAGCCAAGATGCTGTTAGGAAAACATATTGCTCTAATTTAATCCACATGTGCATCCCCAGGATAGAGTCTGAAAGGAAACGTCAGGTCCTGAGTCCCAGACCCCAGAGTCTCAGTCCTGGGTTGTGGCAGAGAGGGGCTCTGGCCGCAGGGTTGCCCTGACTACCTTTCAGGGCCTTCTCTGAAGCCAGTTCCCACCCACCTGTGCTCTAGGTGTGGAGGTGGGGGTGTCAGTGGGGAAAGGGATGTGCCAGGTAACACCTACGGACAACCCCCTGCCCCTGCCCACAGCCAGGAGCATACGCAGAGGGGGAGGCCAGTGGACTTGATGGGGCTGGGGTCAGTACCTGAGCGAGGTTGACCTCTAATCAGCTCCATCTGCTCCCTTTCTGAGAATCAAGGTCTCGGCTCTGAGGCATGCAGTGGTGACATGAAAAAATTTGTCCAGTCAGGTGGCGAGATACCATCTGCAGGATCGAAGTCACCAATGACCTAGGTTCAAGGCTCAGAGGTGGGTGTAAGGCCATGTACAATCTTACCCCAAGGCCTGGCTGTGTGTGGAGTGTGATTTTACAGTCACACCCCACTGGTTAAAAGCCAACAGTAGGAAATCAAGCCAGTGTGCTTGTTCAAGACTGTCTTCAAATTTTACTCCTATCATATATGAATTACTCTGAATCTAATTATATTATCTGGAGGAACTGACTGTCCAAAATGAGCAAAGCTCAAAGGACCCATCTCATATGGATGTTTATTAACACTCAGGTCTGGAGACACAGTACTAAAGGGCAGAACCATAAGTCTGTTTCGATTCAAGTTCTGGGAGCCTTTTGGTGACTTGCAAGTCATGACCCTGGTGCGTTAGCCTGTAAAGAAAAGGCAATCCTTTTTCCCCATGCTCACCGTATCCACACTGCTTTCTCTACTCTAAAACTTGCCATCCACATGGTCTGGGCTGGATTCCTAAGCAAAGCCATGTTAAAACCCTCAGCATAGGAAGAAATTCATATCCAAGGCAGAGCAGGAGGGGTGATACAACAGGCTTACATCTGGGACCCTCGGGGACCCCACTGTCCCCTCATGGCTTCCAAGAGTTGAGCCCATAGTTCCCTCAGTGGGAAAGGGCTAGAAATAGCCTTTAGAGCCTAGTTAGGTGGGGACTCAAAGGATATTGCTAGGAAAAAAAGAGATTTGAGCAGATTGTGGAGTTTTTGAATTGCACTAAAGTGTATTTCTATCAGAACAGGCAAAGGACTACAGATACAGCTCAGTGGTAGGACCCTTGCCTAGCATTTGTGAGGTCCTCGTTTCCAGGGGGATAGGGTTGAGGGTTAAAGAATAAAAGAAAAAAAATGGCAAAGGACATGAAAATGGTATGAGAAGGTGGAAATACGATGAGTTTCCATGTGCTGCTCAAATCAGCAAACAGTCTTTGCTCACAACCACTGGGCAGTATTCTTGAGGTTGCTCCACCAAATGGCTCTCTGGGGTCTTAACAGTAAAAGCTTTGGAATGTCCCAAGCTGCCAGGGACTCTCCTCCATTTCAAGACAGGGGCTCAGCTCTGCAGGCAGGAGTCTGCTTCCTCCAGGCTGGGAAGGACTCTCCTGGGGCATGGCCAGCACCTCTTAATGCCCTCCCCAGCTGGCAGGGATGAGGAGACCATTCTGGATTTTGCAAGGACAAGAATCCAGGCAGGTTTGAATGGCTCTGGTTCTATGGGAGTAGGTCAGCCACACTCTCAGCCAAGGCTCTGCTGAACCCCGTATGCAGAAGCTAACAGGCAATTACACAGCAGAGACACTTGGCAAGAACCTGGGGTCAGCGACCAGGCAGGGAAGAGAGAGCTGGAATACTCAGCCCATAGATGTTTCGGTCTGTCTTCTGGATCCCATAGTGAAAACTTAGAACTCTGCAGCTCCTGCTGGGGAAGAGAGGGGTGGGAAGTAAGGGGCAGCAGGCCCTCAGTTACGTCATCAGGTGCAGCAGCTGATACTAACCACTAACTCCTGCAAGGAAATCTGGCCCTGTGAGAGAGAGAGAGTCTAACACCTCTTAGTTGGGCTGGGCCTAAATTTTGGTTTATCAGATTGGTCATCTCAAATGCCAATTATTAATTACAATGAAACTGTCTTTTACCATTAACCAAGGTGTTAATGGTAGCACATGTGTGTGCTAGATCCCCAGCTCTGTGAGCGTCAAGGGTAATGATGGCTGCCCGTGCCTCTCTGATGGAAACTTTCTTAGGGTTTAACAAGAATTTGGTGTGATTCTTTTTTCCATGAAGGCTTGGGTCTCTAGACATCATGGCGTATGGTAACCCTGTAATCTTGGGGCTTAATCAAAACATATTCCATCAACCTATTTTGGTGTTCTGAATGAATGTTTATTTTAAAACAATTTGCTATGGCTTTTCTTTTTTTTTTTTTTTAAAGGAGAGAGAAGGGAATTTCCTGGAGCCAGATTTCTCTCTGCCCCTAAGCAGGTCTCTCTACTCGAAAGACTGTGTCAGACGTGCAGGTCATAATTAACCACAGAGCTGTTTGGAAGAAAAAGAGAGAAGGAGCGGGCATTTGACAAAGAGTTAACAGATGTCATTTCGGTGGCGGCTGGCCCACTGCTGCTGGGTCATTTGTTGGATGGAAGCCGATTCTGCTGCTGTCGTAAACACAGAGTAGTAATAATTATATGCAGGCTGCATTAGGCGTAACAGATTGGATGTATAACATTCTGTTAAAACCCAGCTCATATCCTGTTTCTCTCTCAAAATACAATGGAGACGACCCCTACCTCCTAGTTGTGAAAGTCGTCTCCAAGGATCCTCTTAGACTTTCCAGTAGGGAAATAGGTCATGTTCCTTCCTGGCGAATTCTGCCGACGTCCGGGAATGGCACAGAGCTCTGCTCAAAAGCGACTCGGGCGCACACACTTCAGTAAGCCAGCCCTGCACCACACCACGGAGCTGCTTTTTTCCATTTGAAAAATGAAAGAATTAAATTCAAAACAAACAACTTCAATTTAACACCAAACTACAGGATAACCAATCTTAAAAATGTCACAGCGTAATGGATCTTAATACCCATAGAAAACACAAAAACAGCACCATTGTTCCCCAGCCATGCAGAGCAACCTCGCAGAATCTCAGTGAAGGAGAAAGAAGGGAAAAACACCTTATTACTTCCAACCCCTGCGAGCCATTTTGGTCTCCAAAGGTTTTAGGCTGCCCGAGGCCGTGTGTCTGCGGTGTTTCGGGAAATGACTTGCCTTCGCACGAACGCTGCTCTGTTCTGCAGCGAGGCTGCCTGCCCCGGAGCGGCGCCGCTCCATTTCTGGTTAACTCTTCCTTCCCGGGCCTGCCGCTCACAGGAGCAGGGCAGGCAGGGCCCAGGGATGCTGAGGCCACTGCAGCCCAGCCTCCTGCAGGGCAGCTAGGACTGTCACCATTAGGAGCAAGGAGCTTCTGCAGGGAAAGCAGCTCCAGTAGACCAACTAGCTACCCTCTGTGCTCTTTGGAAAATCTTTTCTCAAAAAGAGATTGTCACAGAGCAATTGTCATCAAAATACACAATGCGCTGAAGCCAGGGAACAGAAGTAGGGCCTTTGGGGACAAGGCTGGGCAATCCAACCTCTCCCGGTTCCCAGCAGGAAAGAGGTCCTGTTTCCATCACTAGCCTGGGCAATATGCACTTCTGGTTGGTAGGATACAAGCCGGATTGTGACTCGGACCTGAGGATTTTTTTTTACTTCCCTTGTAACACCAGAGGAAGCCTAGTGACAGAAAAATGTTTGCAGTGCACATCAGAGCTGAGCGACGACAGAAAACCACTTAGCACTTAAGAGGTTAATACAATTCCTAAGTGTTCGGCAATCACTGCAATTTAGTGCCATTTCGATTATTACACAATAAACAGACCATGTTGTCTGGAAGCAAATTTTTATGAGTATAGCTGAAGGGGTTGCAACTTATTTAGCTGCTGAAACTCGGAGGGAAAGAGCATTTCCGAACGCTAACACCGCGGATCAGAAATACAGGTAGCAGAGAAAGGTTATTCTCAGGTCACTGCTCCGGCAACTCTACACCATGACCTTTAAAATGAGTATGTCATTAGAGGGAAATGAAGTTCGCCAAAGTGTTTTTTACACATAACCATTTTAATAACAATATCGTTGAGCTTCAGAGTGAAAGATTTGAGAATTTCCAGAAACATGTTATGTTTGGAAAAGTACATCTTGTTAACATGTGCTGGGAATACGTGAACTGTTTGGCTACTCCAAATATGCATCGAATATACATGTTCTCGCACATGCACATGTGTACATGTGCACTCGTGCACACACATGCACCACACATGCACAGACCCTGAATAGACACTGGTTATGGCCGTATCTTATGGGTACACGGGTACAATAATGATAACCAGAACAAATTCCTACTACAGTAAGAGAAATCAGACGTGTGAGTGGACAATGGGACCATGGAGGGATACTGCAGCTCTCAAAGTCTGTCCAAAATTTCATGGCACACTGAGCTCTAAAGAGACTCTTCCTGCCAGGCCCACACAGATTCAGATTTGAGGAGCTGAGCTTTACCACAGCTCCACCAGTGGAGGTAGGAAACCACCCCAGATATAACTTCAGGATTCAAGGTTAAAACATGCATAGAACCTTTGTATTTGTACATTTTAAGGCTGGCAACAGGCTTTGACTTTCATGAGGTATCTGTAGCAACCAAACAACCTTCTCGTGAACAAAACAAAGAAGTTATTATTTTCACACCCATTTTACAGATGAGCTAATGGAGGGTCTACTAAGAAGTAAAGACTGAGTTAGTCTACTACAATACGTGCTGCATTTCAGCTAATCCTCATGCCCAGGTTGTAGGTCCAGCGGGGCCAAATGTCTCTGCCCTCAAGGGTCCCCAGGACCCATGGAACTGGATGTGGCAGCACGTGAAGCAAGGCAAAGCTGCAAAGGTGCACCACACTCACACAGTGTTAGGAGTAAGCCTTCTGTGACAGAGATGGGTCAGGGTCGTGGGAACACAGCCTATGGTGGCAGGAAGGGCATCTTGTGTTAACAAGGGCAGGGCTGGATCCTGGAGCTGCCTTGCCTGGTGCAAAGAGCAGAAAGGGGGTGGCAGGTGCTGAGATCAGGTGAGTTTCCACCCCGCCAACAAGAAGCAGGAGGCCTGCTTGATACCTGAAATTCTACTTTTAAAGGGCAGTGATCTCAATCATTGGAATGCACAAGAATATCTTAGGGTGCCTACTGCAAAGGCACATTTCTGATTGAGTAGCTCTGAGATGGAAGCCAGGGAGCTAATCACATGGGCCATTCAGGCGATTCTCAGAACAGGTGGTCAGAGAAGCACACCTTGAGAAATCTTCATATGGGATAACAATTCTTTGGTGAAACTTCCTTCTTAGGTCTTTAAAAATGTTATGCTTCTTGGGGGACAGTATATTTGGTTCCTGACATGAATTTATGTCAACCATCCTTCAAGTTTTCTGTCCATCCATCCATCCATCCATCCATTCATCCATCCTTCAACTCTTCCATCCATTCATCCATCCTTCCTCTTTTCTTTCCATCCATCAATCTGTCCATTCATCCATCCATCTACCCACCCATCTATCCTCTGGCTCAACAGATCCTTCCCGGACACCTATTCCATGTGAATCCATGTTCCAGGAGCTGGAGTGATAGAATAGGTGCTAGAAGGCATAACCAAGGCCAGAACTCAAGCTGGTGACTCAGAGAGGAGAAACCACTGTTGGAAGGCCCAGAGTGGGTGAGTCCACCACAGTTTTACACACAGCTGACCTTCGCCTCAGGGTCCCAGCAGCAGCCAACTGTGATGGCTCAAAGCACAGTTTGAAATCCAAGAGCACTGATCATTCCCTTCAGAGACTCAAATTCTCCCCCCTTCAGAAAGGAAAATGTAGTCCATGATCATTGCAAGGTGAGACAGAGGAGGCAGTATGGGCATGAAAGAATACTTTCAGGAGGAGAATGACAGCAGCAGCTGCAAAGAGAAAACTACGTACCTGAGATTCTTATAGAAGCCCAGGCAAGGCCTATTAAGGCCCCAGAGCCACTAGGCTTAGAGGCTTCAAAATTCTATTTTAAATTCTCTTTGAAATGTTTATAATTGGCCATTCAGAATAACCACAGTTCTTATAAAGCCATCACCCATGTGGTCCAGGCTCAGGGCAGTGTCTCCGACAAAGGAGCACAGTTCGTCAGCCCAAATGCAATTCAAAAGTAAGGCAAGCTCAACCCTAACGTCTCCACAGCAGTCTGAAGAAGACACACAGATCTCAGCATTGCTTCCTAATCTCATCCCTGATCTGCAGGTTGTCATCTGGATATTGCAGTTCCCTTGCTTTGCAACACTCCACAGCACTGTTCTCCATGCCTCTCCCGGTTCACCCCGCTTTCCTTTTCCTTTCTCGCTGATCCTGCAGTACAAAGCCCCCACAGAACTGGCCTGGCTTGCCAGGGAGGAAAGTTGCTAGATGGTTTTGGGTCCCTTGGATTCCTCTCTTATCTAAAAGTAGAGACAGTGATGTGATTTCACAGTGTTTGTGGGAAGAGCTAAATGAAATATAAATAAAGCATCGAATAAAGGAATTGGTACCTGGTGGACAATTAACAGGTATTTGTTCCCATAGGAAAAACTACCACACATCTTTTTTTCTTCCCAGAAAAATTTATTATTTCATATAAAATGATTATATTACAAAATGTATTTGAAAAATTGGGGGAGTGCTTTCATAATTTACAGCAAGGAGAACTGGAGAGTGAAGTTACTATTATGCAATGTTTTCCCCAAAGAATTCCCATATTGATATTCTAATGAAAATAGGCTTCTCAAATCCTGCATTTTGATTATGTGTGTCTATACTGGCATTTATGTTATATTCTGAATTAACAAACATCAAACGCTAAAAAATTAGATATGCATAAAATGGGGAAAAGGATACACATCTTTTATAAATCTCAGTGGAGCCTACTCAAACCTCTAGCCCTATCAGACATTCCCGGGTTAAACCACATGGCAACTTCAGAATAGGGGAACATTAATGAATACAAAACAATAAGAAGGCTGTTTGGGCATGTGCTAAAAAAAAAAAAAAAAATCTTTCAAATCAGACTATGTCCTTATCTTTGGAAATCTCCTAATGAATATCATCCTCCATAAAGAATCTTCTGGCTTACTCGTGTTCTTTCTGTTTGTTAAAATAGCATGCAAGTCATTTTATGGAACACAAAGTTCATGCAAACCCAAAACAAAATAAAAAGGAAAGAATGTGAAAAGAACAAACTTTTAAATTCTGTACTTTTTATTATTAGATGCCATTTCTAACTTGTTAAAATTGATCAAATAGAAAGCTCTGAAAAGAGAAAAAATTAAGCCAACTAGAAAAGTGTGACTTGGATTTAATATTTTATAATTGCCAAGGGACATACTGAGATCAATGAATTTTTGCCTGAGATGAACGTCAGAAAGAGATGTACTTCAGTCTTTTAGGGAACATTGGTCTATTTAATTTTTGTGTCTGATGCATGTGAAATAGGCCTGCCTCAGCCTTCTTTCTTTGCCACGGGCATTGCTGGCAGTGGACATTACCAGTTTTAATAGGCTGCTGTCTGAAGACTGGTGAGGGATCTGATAACCCATCGACTCTAACGGAGCTGCCTGTTTATTCACTTGCACCTTTTCTTCCCAGCTAATTTTAGTTTTGCATGCTGAATTGTTTCACTTTGAATTAAATGAATAGAAACAAAGGAAAAAGCCTTTGCAGCTAATAAACCAAGATTATATTCCTGGTCCCTCTCAATAGCTCCCCACACACCAGGTATACCATCCGAGAACAGATTCACTGTGGCATTTTCTCCACTTGTTGACAAAATTAACATTTTATACATGCTCAAATTTAGAGAAAAAATTAGATTATTCAAATCATTTTATGTATAATGTGCTGTTGTTTGTAGTAGATCTAAATGCCCAGCCTCAGGCCCCAGATGTCCTCAGATTTCAGACACTGGTCAGTGACTTTTCCTGCCCGAGGGTCACCCCAGAGCACACTGCAGGGTCACACAAACAGGACAAATGCTGAAATGCTTTGCTTTGTCTAATGAAAAATCAGAGAGACACGAGCAGGCTATGCCTAGATGCCCTTCAACAGAAATAACAGAAGTCAATGGTTGAAAAACATTCCTCCCCTCCAGACTCTCTTTATGTCCAGAGACCTTGAAGAAGGTTCTAGAAACCTTTTAGGTGACGC